ACCCTTACAAAACTTACATTGTAGTGGGAGGAGACAGTAAGACACATAGTAGGGAGGAGGAGAAAAGGGAGGAAAAGAGAATGAAGGTTACCCAGGTACTGGTGGCTCACGCCTGTAATCCTAGTTACTTGGGAGGCTGAGATTGGGAGGATCAAGATTCGAGGCCAGCCCAGGCAAATAGGTCATGAGACCCTATCTCCAAAATAACCTGAGCAAAATGTACTGGAGGTGTGGCTTAAGAGGTAGAGCACCTGCTTTGCAAGCACAAGGTCCCGAGTTCAAACTTCAGTCCCACTGATAGAGAGCACGTGCACTGGCGCCAGTGGTTCTCACATCTATAATCCTAGCTACTCAGGAGGTAGAGATCAGGAGGATCACAGCTTGAAGTCAGCCTGGGCAAATAGCTCATGAGACCCTATCTCAAAAAAAAAAAAATCCATCACAAAAAAGGAATGGTGGAGTGGCTCAAGTTGTAGGCCCTGAGTTCAAACCTCACTACAGCAAAAAATAGTGAAATTTAGCAAATGTACCCCAAACAGTGGTCATATGTTCTATAAAAGGTGACACAGTGATGCGTGGTGTCCAGAGCATGGACTGGGCTTTGAGGGGCTAGGGGCGTGCTTAAGATGCACAAGGCCGTGGGTTCAATCCTCAGCAGCAATACAAAACCAAAACAGAATGTGTTGATACTGGGTCATGAGTCCTGGTGTCTTCCAGCTGGATAACCTGTCAGAGGCCAGCCTCAGTCCCCAATCCCAACTCCAGAAAACCGCCCATTCCCTCTCCAGGGACTTCTCATTCCTCCACCCTCAGATTATCCGGGCCTCTACTGTGTAAGACAAATGGATTTCTACCCTGTATGTCCAGCAGTGGTTTGGGCCTAGATGGTTTCAGACATTGGGCTCTACACCATCGCTGAGTTAACTCAGATAACCCACTTACTCACTCTGACCTCAGTTTACTTGTCTGTCAAACAGGAACAAAGATTCTTTAGTGAACAGAGTTTGAGAATGTGGTGTTTTCTTTGCAGTACACATGGGAGGGGACAGATCCCCTCTCACTGGAGTCTCGTTCTTCTGGTTACAGTGGATTCATTATAGGGTCAAATCCCATTGATACTGAGTGACTGAAGCGGGCGGCAGTAATGTCTGACGGGTGTTCACAGACAGCTTCAAGACTTTCTCCTCCATCCTGCAGCGCATGTTCCTGAGGAGCCCCAGTCAAGGGATCCATAGAAGCCGAGATGGCTGACTAGGGACTATGGAGGCTGAGGCCCAATTCTGAGTGGGGCTGCCCCTGTGGGCCACTAGAACCTTGTCCTGCAGACACTTGGGTGCAAGAAGGGCCCAACCGAGGACAAGTAAGTTTGGGGAACTCAGCACATGCCACTTGCCTCTGCAAGACCCCCGGCGCTCATCACCAAGTCCAGGCTCTGGGGAGACTCATTCCATGAACCCTGTTTAATTCCCTTGGCCAGGACACTTCCTCTTTTCCTTTTGTCCCTTTTGGGCATGCCTACAGTGCCTAAAGACCTCCCATTAGGCTCCATCTTCCAACAGTGCCACCCTGGGTACCAAGCCTTTGATACATAGGCTTTGGGGGGAACATTTAGGATCCAAACCACAGCATGTATCATCATCCTGAAGGTGTCTGCTGAGCTGGGATTTGGAAAGGACTTGAAAATCCTGTCCAAGGAGACAAATTTGGGGACTTACAGGGTTCTGTAAACCTCAGCATTTGGTATTATGCCTGTCATATAAGAGGTGCTCAATGAGCAATGGATGGATGAATGGGTGGATGGATGGGTGGGCAGATGAATGGGTGGGTGGATGGATGGGTAGGTGGATGGATGGGTGCATGGATGCATGGATGAATGGGTGAATGGATGAATGGGTGGGTGGGTGGGTGAATGGATGGATGGATAGATGGGTGGGTGGATAGATGAGTGGGTAGATGGATGAATGGGTGGGTAGATGGATGAATGGGTGGGTGGGTGGATGAATGGATGAATGGGTGGGTGGATGGATGGATGAATGGGTGGGTGGATGGATGAATGGGTGGGTAGATGGATGAGTGGGTGGATGGGTGGACAGATGAATGGGTGGGTGGATGGATGGGTAGGAGGATGGATTGGTGCATGGGTGGGTGGATGGGTGGGTGGATGGAAAAATGTGTGGGTGGATGAATGGATGGGTGGGTGGATGAGTGGGTGAATGGATGAATGGGTGGGTAGATGGATGAATGGATGAGTGGATGGATGAGTGGGTGAATGGATGAATGGGTGGGTGGATGGATGAATGGATGGGTGGATGGATGAGTGGGTGAATGGATGAACGGGTGGGTGGGTGGGTGCATGGGTGGATGGATGGATGATGAACGGATGGATGGGTGGATGGGTGGATGGACGCATTTCCAAATCTTAAGAATGCAGGAGGAAGGTAGAAGTGACTTGAGTCCCAAGGACTCAGGGTGGAGTCATTCTTAGTTCCCTCTAGACCGGTTTGGTTGGAGACTGATGGACTCCATTCATTCATTCACTCACTCATTCACACAACCACAATGCAGACTGGTAAGTACACTGCAAGTTATTAGCAGTGGGGACCATGTGAACACCCAGGAAGGGACAATAAATTACACAGGGCTCTGTGGAGATGAGCCTGAAAGGCATTTCCAGTCCTCATGCTATTCCAGCCACAAAAGTCATGCACGGGACTTCTTGGGTCCCACAGAAGCTGCCATCCACTGGTTGTTGCTCCATGGCTCCAATAACCTATCTTCCCCTCTCTTTCACCCCAGCACTCCTATCATTCCTCCTGGCTGTCAGCTGCTTGTCTGTCTTCCCACACCCAGGGAAAGTGTCCACATTCTGCAGATCACTGAAGAGACTCAAAGGAACAAGGATCTAATGGCAAAACTCCAAGCAGGGTGAAAAATAAATGGGGATCCATGTGAGAGGAAGGGGGGGCCTGGTCAGGCCCACCCCATCCAATGCCTTTCCCAGTGCCTCAGACCAGCCACTCCCTCATCCTCCCAGCAACACTGCAAACCAGCCCCTCCGTCCCCTGCAAAGGGGAGCCTGACTGGACCTTTAAATGGGAAAAAAAATGCTTCATCATGTTCTGCTTCTCCATGCAAACCAGAAATTCCCTTCCCCCCCCTCCCCAGTGCACTCTCCTTCCAGTAAAACGTGGCTAGAGACAGCGCCATCACTTCCCCAGCTCTGAGGGTCTGCAGGGGACCAGGGGCTGGGAATGAGGCTGAGAGCAAAGAGAAAGGAAATGCCAGGGGTCTTTCTGAGGGATCTGTCTGTCCCTGTCCTGGGGATCCCAACAGAAGGAAAACCAGGGTAAACTAGGGGTGCAGTGGGGTTTGAGATAACTGCCTGGGGGAGACTCAGATCTGCAAGGGGAGTCCTCATTGGTTCCCAGAGGGTGTCGGGGCCACCAGGATTTCTAGGGGGTCCTTTCACACTCGCAGTGGAGGGACACAGCCCAATCACGTGAGGGGAACTTTACAGAAAACAGGGAATAGAACCCCTAATAGAACATGCAGGGCGGGTCCCTGGCTCACTGTGTGACCCTACCAAATCACTCACGCACCCCCTCCTCAACTCACATCGGCACAGCAGAGGGGCCCACCTAGAGAGAGCTGGCACACCTCCCTCCCCTCCCACTAACATGGGTGAACCCTTTTGTCTCCGCCAAGGAGCGAGCTCTGTCCATGGTGCTGAAGTGCCAGCTTCGCGGGGCCCTACCCCAAGCCAAGAAAAGAGCCCATGACGAAGCAGTTGCAAGGCTCCCCAAATGCAATAGACCCTTTTCTCTAACTCCCCAGTGGGGCTCATGGAGGTGAGGGACTTTGGCACTGAGAAAGCAAAAGCATTCCACCACTTCTTTGGGAGCGAGAAGGGATGGGTGGGGGGTCGAGATGGGTAAAGGGGAGGAAGACAGGCTTCTCAGTTGTGGGGAGGCAGTGGTAATGTGCGGGCTCCCCTCCCCCAATCCAGCTGGAGACCTGCCAAAGTGGGAGCTCCTAGGGTGGTGAGGGGTCTGGAGTAGCAGGGTACCCCTAGGGCAAGACCCCGGTTGTACACACGGGAAAACCAAATGTGGGAGGAGACATCTTGTCCAAGGTCATTCAGCCAGCAAACTACAGAACTGACCCGTCGGTAGAGCAAGACTGCCCCACACTCATCCCAGGTTCCTGCTGGCTTCTCAGGGTATCCTCTGCCTCTGCCCCCTTCCTGAGAGTCCCCCATGCTGGGGCCGGCTGCAGTCTCAGCTTCCACTGGAGACATTCTGGAGAACTGTGTCCCCATCCCACCCGGGGTTCCCTCTCTCCATTCTCGGCAGTGTCTTCCATACCTCTATTCGGGGTAGCCTTTGCCGTCCTTCCCAATTCCAGGTCCCCATCCCTTTATTCCGGAGTGGGTTGCAGACTTCCTTAATCCCTCTCTGGGGGGGTGACCACTGTGCCTCCAGCTCGGCGTCCCCCATCTATACTCTGTGGTGCCCACCATGCCCTCGTTCAGGACTGCCTTGGTCCCCACCCCCATTCCGGGCTGACTGCACTCTCTGCACCCCCTATTAGGAAAATCTGGCACTCCTGCCATGCAGGGGCCGTCCCATCCTAATGGCTGCAGTCTTCCATCGCCCATTTGGGGACCCCTCTCTTATTAGCGGGGGGGGGGGTCCCCGCGTGTCCACTCCGAAAGTCCTCTAGCCCTTGCCTTGACCTCGGGAGGCGCCTCTGACGCTGCGGCGACCCCGCTCACTCCCCGGTCCCCCGCCCCGCCCCTCTCACTGCGGCGGAGCCGGGCCCGGGCCGCGGGGGAGGAGGTGCCGAGGGCGGGGCCGCGCGCCCCAGCCCCCCACTGCCAAGGGGCCGGCCCGGGGCCGCGGCGGCTATAAAAGAGCCGGCGTCCCGGAGCTGCCGCAGTGCCGCCTGCCCCATCCCGGCCTCACGCTCCGGCTCCGGCTCCGCGCCAGCAGCCCGCACCTGCTGCGGCCATGATGAGCTTCGGCGGCGCGGATGCGCTGCTGGGCGCCCCGTTCGCGCCGCTGCACTACGCGCTGGGCCGCAAGGGCGGCGCGGGCGGCTCGCGCTCCGCGGCCGGCTCCTCCAGCGGCTTCCACTCGTGGGCGCGGACATCCGTGAGCTCCGTGTCGGCCTCGCCTAGCCGCTTCCGCGGGGCGGGCGCCGCCTCGAGCACCGACTCGCTCGACACGCTGAGCAACGGGCCGGAGGGCTGCATGGTGGTGGCGCGCAGCGAGAAGGAGCAGCTGCAGGCGCTCAACGACCGCTTCGCGGGCTACATCGACAAGGTGCGGCAGCTCGAGGCGCACAACCGCAGCCTGGAGGGCGAGGCGGCGGCGCTGCGGCAGCAGCAGGCGGGCCGCGCCGCCATGGGCGAGCTGTACGAGCGCGAGGTGCGCGAGATGCGCGGCGCCGTGCTGCGCCTGGGCGCGGCGCGCGGCCAGCTGCGCCTGGAGCAAGAGCACCTGCTGGAGGACATCGCGCACGTGCGCCAGCGCCTCGACGACGAGGCCCGGCAGCGCGAGGAGGCCGAGGCGGCGGCGCGCGCCCTGGCGCGCTTCGCGCAGGAGGCCGAGGCGGCGCGGGTCGAGCTGCAGAAGAAGGCCCAGGCGCTGCAGGAGGAGTGCGGCTACCTGCGGCGCCACCACCAGGAGGAGGTCGGCGAGCTGCTCGGGCAGATCCAGGGCTGCGGCGCCGCGCAGGCGCAAGCGCAGGCCGAGGCGCGCGACGCCCTCAAGTGCGACGTGACGTCGGCGCTGCGCGAGATCCGCGCGCAGCTCGAAGGCCACGCGGTGCACAGCACGCTGCAGTCCGAGGAGTGGTTCCGAGGTGCGCAGGCGCGCGGGGATGGGCGGGGAGCGGGGGGAGGAGGGGTCGGGAGCTGCGGGGGAGGGAGCGCCCCCTGCTGACCAGGCGGCGAATCTGGAGTCCCGAGGGCGTGCTGTCGCCCCCTGCAAAGTGCATGCCGCCTGTCAAGTAGCAGTTTTGCTCTGGCTCTCTTAGGGGACTCATCTAACTCTTGTTCTGCCTTGGTTACCCTTCTCCAGACTTTTTTTTTTTTTTACATTTAATACCTGCACTTTAACTCTAGGGCCCGTCTGCTCCCCATCCTGAGTTAGGCGACTCCAGTCTGAGATGGGTCTTTCTTCAAGAACAGAGCAGTCACCTCCCTCCCCAACCCCCCCAGATCCAGGGCAGTGCTGGCTTCTCTGACAACGCTTTCCATCCCCTTTTTCTGCACCCTGCAATGGGGTGGGACCCCATTCTTCTGACCTTTACCAGGCTCCTCCCCACTGCCTGCTCAATGATAAAGTCCCCACCTTAATCTGCAGTGGGGGATGGAAGGGGTGGGGCGTTTGCACATCCTCGGGGTGGGGGACTACCACCACCACCAATGGCTGCAGGTGGAGGAGGCAGCCTCTTTGCTATTTAATATCCCCTCTCCTCAGGGAGGCTGGGCCCTCCTGTGTCCTCCCCACCCATTCTTCCCAAAGTCCCTGCAGTCCTGAGTCAGCATGACTGCAGATGCCCTGAAGCTGTGCCCAGTAGCTGCAGGATGACCTTGACCAACAACTGGCCCTGTCTGGTTTTCATTACTTTTTCGGTTGAAAGAATGGCACCTGGTTCTTTCCCAATCTGAGAGGTTCCAGAATCACTCCTGAAACTGTGTGTAAATGTGTGCGTTGTTCTGAGGCTTGAATGGTTTTCAATTGAGCATGTGATCCTCAATATGTCAGAATCCTCACCTACCTGGATGGTTTCTAAGACTTTGCCAGCACAACAGGCAAAGCCAGAATGCTGGGATCTGGTTGCTTAGAGTTTCCGGGTTTCTTTGCCATCCCCCTGCAGTGGCAGAATGGTCACTCCCCCATCTCTGCAGTAAGGCTCCTCCACGGGAAACACCTCTGTTCTCTTGTGCTTGCCCTTCACTCAGGCAGACTATCCCAGGACTTGTGGCCGTACCTGCTGGATTCTCTCCACCAAGACTCAGGCTTTGGGTGCCACTCCTTGGGGATTCAGGATGCTCACTTTCAGGAGAGAGACCAGTCTTCAGTCCTCCCCTTGACCCCCTCCTGGGACCCAGGAGCCAGTTGCTGGCAGGGACCAGGGTGTGGCTGACATTGGCTCAGAGGCTCCTGTGCTAGACAGTGGGCAGCCAGCCAGGTAGAGGGAGAGACAGAGGGCTACCATGAAGGCATCTGGCACTGCAGTGACCTTGGACTCTGCGCAGAAATCTACAAAGAAGGTACCATGGTGACATGGTAACCTGATTGCTACCAGAGCTCCAAAGGTCACAGGCTCACTAACTTGTTCCAGCTACAGCCTCCAGCTCAGAGTTAAGATCTTATATCTGAAAATACCAGCTCCTTGTTGGGGAACTGGACCAGGCATTGGCACCAGAAATGGGGGCCTCCTCCCCCTTGCAACAGCTATGGATCCCAAGCTGAGGGAGCAGTCTGGTCTTTGCAGCCAGATAGACACTAGATTTGAATCCTCCCCACCACTCATTAGCTGGGTAGCGTTGGGCAGCAGTCACTGGCCTACCCCGTAGCACAGGTGGGTTAAAGGATGGCAGTTGGCACCAGGTAGATCCTTCAACCCGTGTGGGTCACCTTCTGAATCTAGGAACTGGAACCCAAATCCAGGCATCTAATCCTATGCCTTACTCCCTTCCCCACCCAGTGAGGTTGGACCGACTGTCAGAGGCAGCCAAGGTCAACACAGATGCCATGCGCTCAGCACAGGAGGAAATAACTGAGTATCGGCGTCAGCTCCAGGCCAGGACCACAGAGCTAGAGGCACTGAAAAGCACCAAGGATTCACTGGAGAGGCAGCGCTCTGAGCTGGAGGACCGTCATCAGGCTGACATTGTGTCCTACCAGGTGGGCAGGGGAAGGGCAGAGGGTTACCTGGCTGGGTGACCCTGGACAAGTCATTGCCCCTTTCTGAGTAGGATGTAGTGGTTAAGACCATGGTCTGGGAGTCAGACGTACCAGTACTTTCTAGCTGTGTGATTCCAGGAGAGTTATCTGCCTGTCTGAAATTCTGAATTAAAATTTCTTCTCTGTAGTGAAAAGAAACAAAACAAACAAACAAAATAATCCACCTGCTCTGCAAAGCTGTCAAGGGTAAGGAGACAGAAGCTCAGCAGGGTCTTAGTCACAGTGGGATAACCATAACCAGTGTCTCTGGGTGACCTGGGGAAGGCTCTTTCTTTCCTCCAATGCAAACCTGCAAGAGTAAAATGTCACTTTCAAAGAACATATGTAATAAATGGTGATAGTAGAGATGTTAGGAAATAAGGAAACAAAAAGGGAAAAATTAAAAGCATCCAGAACATCCATTAACAGTTCACATTAAAGCGGTGGCCCCAACAGGGCTTGGGTTGGGGGAAAAGTTTCAATCTTTATTTATTTATATATTTTTGCGGTACTGGGATTTGAAGTCGGTCCAACACCTTGAGCCACTCAACCAGCCCTTTTTTGTGAAGGGTTTTTTTCGGGATAAGGTCTTGCAGAACTATTTGCCCAGGCTGGCTTTGAACTTTGATCCTCCTGATCTCTGCCTCTTGAGTAGCTGGGATTACAGGCGTGAGCCACAGGCACCCATCCTAAATTTATTTACTATCTTTTTTGTATCACTAAGTCACCAGGTCAGCGATAGATACATTCCAAGTCCTGACAATGGCAGGCCCTTTGGGGGAAGCAATTGAGAGAAAGGGCAAGATAAGGCTGTATTCCCACTGAGCATTTTTTTGGTTATTGGTTTTGCAACACAGGGGACCAAACCCAGGGCCTTGCAAGTGCTAGCTAGGCAAGTGCTCTACCACTGAGCTACAGTTCCAGCTCTTCACGGAGCATTTTCTAACCTTAAGAGATCTGGAAGACTTCACTCATCATTCTACAAACAGAACAGCATCTGATCTGTTTCATTCCAGGCTGAGATTTTTGCTCTAGATTTTTCATGTCCACAAATGAGGACCCTGCAGCTTTGACAGGGTGGGATTTTGTCCCCAGTGAGCCTGGCTGGACAGGGCTGCTGTAGCTTTTACAAAGCCAGCTCCAGCTTCCCTGGTGCTGAAAGCCCAGGCACTGGCTGGCTGATGATCTGTCATTTCAGGAAGCCATTCAGCAGCTGGACACGGAGCTGAGGAACACCAAGTGGGAGATGGCGACCCAGCTCCGAGAGTACCAGGACCTGCTCAACGTCAAGATGGCCCTGGATATTGAAATTGCTGCTTATAGGTGAGGTGGGCCAGGGGTCTTGGGGTGGTGGAAAGCGTTTTGTTCTAACCAGGTGCTAAGCCTCGGCTTTCAAGCCCTATTTAGGAATATCTGCATTTTAACAAGCTCTCCAGTGATTTGTAAATTGTTGGATGTGGGAAGCACTAGTTTGTAAGCACTAGTGTAAGCACTTTCACTTACTCTTGGCTCTCTGCCAAGACCTTTTATTCATTATCTCACTGAAACAGCCTCTGAGATGGGGACTCATGACTCTCAATGATGAACTGAGACCTTAAGAGTTTGTGGCTTGGCCAAGGTCACCATCTAGTGGGTAGCAGAGCCAAGAGGAGAAACTGCTGCTACCACTTATTCCTAAAACCCAAAAGATGACAATAAAAGGCAACAGGAGAAATTCAAATGGCAACATTCTAAGAATTTTTAAACTAAATTTATGAATATAGAATTGCTTGCTCCCAGATCTGGTCTTGCTTTTCCGCTCTTCTCTCCTTCCCTCTCTTCCCTCCCCTTCTCTCCCAGGGTCTCGTGTGCTAGGCAAGTGCTGTATCACTGAGCTATTCCCAGCCCCATTTTCTCTTGAATAGTGTTTTAGTCAGGAACAATAAATATAACTTTCATTAATGTAGGAGTTCTTCTTGAGGACCATTTTTCAGGGAGGAAAAAAAGTTATTTTGTTTTACAAAGTGCAGCATTAGCTGCAGTAAAGAAGAGTAGCCCGTTGGGGCTGGGTGGAGGTGTGTTTCTGGGTGGTCACCGGAATGATTTGCTAAGTGACTTTCTCCATTCTCAAGTCACCTACTGCTGAAGATTTAACTCAGTGGCAGAGCATGTGCCTACCATGGTTCAATCCCTAGCACTTAAATAAAGAAATAATTTCAAAGTGCCTACCTAAATAATAAAAAGAAAAGGCAAAGAAAATCAAATAAGAGAGAGAACTACCATTCACTCACATTCTTTCCTTTAACAACATCCATGTCATTGAGTGCCATGGAGCTCTTGGTAAATCTGGGAAGACCAACCCTACAAATCTGCTCTGAGTTAAAAGTGACATGTTCCATTGTCCATTCTGCAGAAAACTCCTGGAAGGCGAAGAGTGTCGGATCGGCTTTGGCCCGAGTCCTTTCTCTCTTGTAGAGGGACTCCCGAAAATTCCCTCCACGTCCACTCACATAAAAGTCAAGAGCGAAGAGAAGATCAAGGTGGTAGAAAAGTCAGAGAAGGAAACAGTGATTGTGGCGGAACAGACAGAAGAGATCCAAGTGACTGAAGAAGTGACTGAAGAAGAAGAGAAAGAGGAGAAAGAAGGGGGAGAAGAGGAGGAAGCAGAAGAGGGTGAAGAAGAAGCAAAGTCTCCCCAAGCAGAAGAAGCTGCATCTCCAGAAAAGGAGGCCAAGTCCCCAGTGAAGGAAGAAGCAAAGTCTCCAGTGGAGGCCAAGTCCCCGGTGAAGGAAGAGGCCAAGTCACCAGAGAAGGTCAAGTCCCCGGTGAAGGAAGAAGCAAAGTCTCCAGTGGAGGCCAAGTCCCCAGTGAAGGAAGAGGCCAAGTCACCAGAGAAGGCCAAGTCCCCTGTGAAGGAAGAAGCAAAGTCTCCAGTGGAGGCCAAGTCCCCGGTGAAGGAAGAGGCCAAGTCACCAGAGAAGGCCAAGTCCCCGGTGAAGGAAGAAGCAAAGTCTCCAGTGGAGGCCAAGTCCCCAGTGAAGGAAGAGGCCAAGTCACCAGCTGAGGTGAAATCCCCTGAGAAGGCCAAGTCTCCAGTGAAGGAGGAGGCTAAGTCACCAGTGGAGGCCAAGTCACCAGAGAAGGCCAAGTCCCCAGTGAAGGAAGAGGCCAAGTCTCCAGCTGAGGTCAAGTCTCCTGAGAAAGCCAAATCCCCAGAGAAGGAAGAAGCAAAGTCCCCAGAGGTCAAGTCCCCAGTGAAAGAAGAGGCTAAGTCACCAGCTGAAGTGAAATCCCCTGAGAAGGCCAAGAGTCCAGTGAAGGAGGAGGCTAAGTCCCCAGAGAAGGCCAAGTCCCCAGTGAAGGAGGAAACTAAGTCTCCAGAGAAGGCTAAGTCCCCAGTGAAGGAAGAGGCAAAGTCCCCTGAGAAGGCCAAGACTGTGGATGTGAAGTCTCCAGAAGCTAAGACTCCAATAAAGGAGGGAGCCAGATCTCCTGCAGATGTCAAATCCAAAAGCCCTGTCAAGGAAGAGGCCAAGTCCCCTGTGAAGGAGGAGGGGAAAGCCAAAGAGCCCCCAAAGAAGGTGGAGGAAGAGAAGACTCCAGCCATGCCAAAAACCGAAGAAAAGGACAGCAAGAAAGATGAGAGGCCCAAGAAGGAAGCTCCAAAGGCTGAGGAGAAGAAGGAAGCTGCTGTGGAAAAACCCAAGGAATCCAAAGTGGAAGCCAAGAAGGAAGAGGCTGGAGATAAGAAAAAAGCAGTGACCCCAGAGAAGGAGGCTCCCGCTAAAGTGGGGACAAAGGAAGAGGCTGAACCCAAAGAGAAGACAGAGGTGGCCAAGAAGGAGCCAGAAGAGGCCAAGGCCAAAGAACCCAGCAAGCCAGCAGAGAAGGAACCGGAAAAGCCAAAGAAGGAAGAGACAGCAGCACCAGAGAAGAAGGACACCAAGGAAGAGAAGCCCACAGAGGCCAAGAAGCCTGAGGAGAAATCCAAAATGGAGGCCAAGGCCAAGGAGGATGACAAGAGCCTTTCCAAAGAGCCCAGCAAGGAGGCCCCCACGCCCAGCAAACCCAAGATGGAAAAGGCTGAAAAATCCTCTAGCACGGACCAAAAAGACAGCAAGCCTCCAGAGAAGGCTGCCGAGGACAAGGTCACCACGGGGGAGAAGTAAGACAGGGAGGATCGAACATCCAGAGCAGCCAAAGAAACTCAGGAGGGTCTCAGCGCTCAAGGGCCAGTGTAACGAATTCTCCCTTTTTCTCCCTTTTCTTTCTGTAAGATGAAACTCTGCTTGGATGATGGCTCCTCCTTCACTGAACAGGAATTACTTTTAACAATTTGTTAGCAGGAGAGGGTACACCCAGCTCCAGCCCCCACCCCTTCCACACACGCCCCACACCCTCCCAGGCGATGGACAATTATGATACCTTAAGTAGCTGAATGTAATGTATGCCGAATGCCATAGGTAAACACTTGACTACGAAAACTGACCCTTCCTTTCCAAATAAGTGCATTTATTTCCCATATGTACAGCTGTATGACAGATGACCGCAATCATGAATGAGCAGTTAGAAATGCATTATGCTTGACATGTCTTAACCTATTCCCAGAATGCCTTCTGTTTTCCAAAGGAGTGGTCAGGCCCTTGCCCAGAGCTCTATCCTGGAGGAGCTGCAGCAGGCAGGGGCTGGGCACTGGCCACAGAGTCATGCCAGGGCACACTTTCCACTGGAGTCCACTTTCAATTGCTTCTGTGCAATAAAACCAAGTGCTTCTAAAATCAAAGTGCGGCCTGTGTTATTTGTTCTCTTCCCCTGGGAATCAGGGGCAAGGGGAGGTCTAGATGACACACCCAAGACGGCATGGGGCCGAACAAGGATCACAGTTCTCTGTGGGTCTGGGACCAAGTGCAGGGCCTCTGTAGTACTAGAGACTGTGTGTCCCCTCACAATCTGAGGGGAGGCCTGTCAAAGCCTCCCAGGTGATTCTAACTAACACACACTGAAGTTAACAGGTGGGCTCTAGGGGGATGCTGAAGTCTCGTGTATAGGGCTCTGTGTTAGATGGGAGGAGCTGTATGCACAAAGAACCACAAGTAGCTAACACTTGTAGTGGAGGTGACAGTGACCTCTTTATTTGGAACATTTTATCCATAGTTACCTAATTAGCCTCCACTGTTTCTCTGGATGTGAGTGTGTGGTACTGAGGACTAAATCCAGGGCCTGACTTGACAAGCATCCTACCACTGAGTTATACTCTGATCCCTTTTTATTTTTAAAATTTTAAGACATGGTCTCACTTAAGTTGCCCAGGCTGGCTTCAAACTTGTAATCCTTTTGCCTCAGCCTCCTGAGTCACTGGGGTTTCAGCCACCAGACAGGTACTGGAAATGATTTTGAGAGCTGTGGTCCATTTGTAGATTTACATGGGGTCTTTTTGGTGATTTTTTTTGTTGTTTTTTGGCGGGACTGGGGTTTGAACTCAGGGCTTTGTGTGTTTGCAAAGGAGGCACTCTCCCGCTTGAGCCATCTCTCCAGTGCATTTTGCTCTGGTTATTTTGGAGATGGAGTCTCGTGAACTATTTGCTTAGGCTGACCTAGAACTGTGATCCTCCTGATGTCAGCCTCCCAAGTAGCTAAGATTACAGCTGTGAGTCACTGGCCACCAGTAACAAGGTCTGAATCTGAATTTTTTTTTTTTTTTGTGGTACTGAGGTTTGAACTCAGGGCCTTCACCTTGAGCCACCCCACCAGCCCTTTTTGTGATGGGTATTTTTGAGATAGGATCTTGCAAACTATTTGCCTGGGCTGGTTTCAAACCACCATCCTCCTGATCTCTGCCTCCTGAGTAGCTGGGATTACAGGCGTGAGCCACCAGCACCCGGCTAAGGTCTGAAGTTTTAAAAGAAAGAATGCCAAGATGGTTTTGGGTGGTCACATTTCAAGCAAAAGATCCATTTTTTGAAGTGCTGGGGCTAGAACCCAGAGCCTTACACATGCTAGGCAAGTGTTCTACCACTGAGCTATACCCCCAGCCTCAAAGGGGTCATTAGATGCCATTTTAGAAATGGTTCTGATTGGCTCATCACTCAAGTTATCAAATATCCTCAAATCTATGAAAATCTGAGCATTAATTTTTTGAGCATTTCTGTTGTGGGGAAATCCAACCTTCATCTAACCAGGCACATATCTATAGCATCTGAATAGCAAGCTGGGATCTGGGACCCAGGAAATAAATCCCCCTGTATTATTATTTTTATTTATTTCTTGTTCCCCCTGTATTTTGTTTGAAACAAAGCTACAGTTGTCTGTGTGTCCCAATTTGCTTCTAATGATAACAAGTACCAGTTGTTGAGATAACAGCTAGGATTACAGGCGTGAGCCACCAGAGCCTGGCTGCATCTGTTTTCTTAGGAATATATTACACAAACACACCCAAACCAGACAGACACTGATGATATTTGGAGTGCCAGAAGCCCCAACCCCCTCAGGCCCAGCCCAGTCCCACCTTAATGACACAATACTGTTTTCCTGAAGGCGTCAAGTGGTACAGGCAGGGCAGGAGAGTCTGATCTGGATGTCTTTCCCTTTTTGACCTAAGTGGCAAAAAGTATTCCCAGTGTGTAGTCAGGATTATAACAACCAGGCCTGCCTGACTTTAACCATCTGTCAAACAAAACCATCCTCCCATTGGCAAGAGAACAAACTTCAGAAAAAAACAATCAAGTTAATTTGCTAAAAAAATTGCTTGTCAGAAGCCAGAGTCCTGGGGGACACAGACAGTATGTAGAAAGGAGTTATTTTAGGAGTGTGCCTTGCCTGCTAGCTAGCTGTTGGCTCAGCAGATACAGCTGGGTTGATGAAAACGTCTTTCATTTTTTTCCTCCAGGGAATTGTTTCAGAAAGGACAGGTCTGCAATAATAAAACATCTAAAAATGGCCAAACACAAAGAAAGAATCTTTGTTCATCATGCTCAACCCAAGACCAAGCTAAAAAGGGATCTGTCTAGACTCGGGCTTCCTAAGGTAGGAGAGAGGAAATGTGACAAACTGAACACTTCCTGAAACTTCTCCCTGGAAGTGATTACAGGCATCTTCTGACAGTCCACTGGGCAAAGCAAGCCGCTTAGTTGTAACTGGTATCAGAGTTGATGGGCAGTCGTTCTGCACTTTAAGGTGCCTGGAGGGAGAATGGGAAGCACTCTAGGGAGCAGCACCCCACAGCAATGTTTTGGAGAATTCTGAACCCCTGACTCCTGAGGGGATATTTTGGAGGCTTACATATTCATCAGCATTATTTCTGCTGGCAGTGATCAACATAGAACTAAACTAGTTTAAGCAAAATACTACTGGTGATGGTCATGCAAAATTTACTGGCTTGCTCTACCAAGGAGTTCAAGAAGGCTGAACTGGCCAGACGCCTGTAATCCTAGCTACTCAGGAGGCAGGGATCAGGAAGAATTGAGGTTGGAAGCCAGCCGGGGCAAATAGTTCGTGAGACCCTATGTCGAAAAAAATCCATCACCAAAAGGCTGGTGGAGTGGCTCAAGGTGAAGGCCCTGAGTTCAAACCCCAGCACTGCAAAAAAAAAAAAAAAAACCCAAAAAACAAAGATGGCTGAATTGCTTTGAGTATGGCTGTTTCCAGGGAAACTATCAAATATATCCTCAGGCTGCTCAGTCATTTCTCTGTCTTGTCCAGGCTTCCCTCTCAGGCAAGGCATCCATGAGGACTGCGGAGGCAGCTGGCTTACATCCCACAAGTTAGACAAACTCAGGGCAGGCCTAGGAGAATAATCTAGGGAACGTCCAGGGTTGTTTGGTTTTCACTGGGCTGACTGAGCCAGTGCTTATGGCTAGGCATGAAGGGGCTGCTGATGAGTGAGACAGGGGTCACTTGCTTATTCCTGGAGATGGGAGAATATGTCAGGTGCCTTGAACTGAAACTGAGAGTTTGGGAGGGGTTCCCAAAGGAAAATAGGTTAGTGTTAGAGGGAGAAAAAGGAATGGATGCTGCCATTGGCAATGACAAATGTCCACAGAAGCTTGAGGGCATATAGCAGAAGGTCCAAAGGAGCTGCAATAGTCAGTGTTAATGGATGTGCAGAGAAACCTGAATTTTCCAGAACCAATGCTTGGAAGGTATTCTGACAAAACCTTCCCACATATATATGTATGGATATGTGTATGTGTATATGTGTGTGTGTGTGTGTGTGTGTGTGTGTGTGTGTGTGTGTGTATTGGTGTGACTGAGGTCTGAATTCAGTGCTTTGTGCTTACAAAGCAGGCACTGTACTGCTTGAGCCACACCTTCAGTCCATTTTGCTCTAGTTATTTTAGAGATGAGGGTTTTGAGAACTATTTGCTCAGGCTGGCCTTGAACCACAATCCTCCTGATCTCAGCCTCCCAAGTAACTAGGATAACAGGCGTGAGCCACCGGCACCCAGCTCCTGGAAGGCATTTTACTAAAATATATCAGAAGCCTTAAAAGTTTAGATTCTTTATAAACAGGTATGCCATTTTAGGGAATGTGCCTTAAATAAATAATCAGGTAGGTACAGAAATATTTAAACAAAAAATATGTTTACCCCACCCCGGGATTGTTTTGGAAAAATGGCACATACACTGACTATGCAAATTAAATTGCAGCTACATTAGTGAACATCCTAATCAGTAAAGAAAACTCACAGCTGGGTACAGTGGCAGTCCAGAGGCTCATGACCCAGCCTGAGCAAAAACCAAGACAAGACCCTATGTCCAAAAAGACTAGCGCAAAAAGGACTGGAGGTGTGGCTCAAGCAGTAGAGTGCCAAGTGTGGAGCCTGCGCTCTAACCCCATACTGAAAAAAAACCCCTAATTTTTAGTTTCCTAAGTAACTTACATTAACAAGACCCAACACCCCTATAGAACATTCTGTGTACACAGCAGAATATACATTCTTCTCAAGTGTCAAGTACACATAGAACATTCTCCAAGATAGTCCATTTACTACACCATTAAAAAGGACTCAACACAGAAGGGTCACTTGACCCCAGGAGTTTGGCACCAGCCTGGACCACACAGCAAGACCATCTCTAAAAATAAACAAATAAATAAACAAAAATATAAAAAGCTTCAGTACATTTAAAGGATTAGGATAATATGAAATATGTTTTCTAATCACAGCAGAGT